TGCCACGTAGAATTAAGGCAGTTCTGAAGGCGAAAGGGGGGTAAAACACCGTATTAGTATGGTGTTCCTAATAATCCTTTAGGTGAGTGTACAGGGTATACAAAAGCCAAACTTAAAAGAAACTTTCTTTAGGGTGTTGGTCTGTTGGGTGAGTGGTATGTAAGGCAGGATGTCTGGGGAGGGGGTTGTGTGCCAAGTCGAGGGATCTCTGTGAGACGACTGCACTTTGCAGCCCAACGTCCGGCAAAAGGCCGTCACCGAAACCCAAAAATAAAATAAAAAAAAATCCAATAATGATGGAGATAATTTAATTACAGCGCTCAAGAGGTGGGAAAAGTCCCATCAGAAAACAAAGCCAAAGCTATACACAACGTAATGAAATAACGCTACAAAAAAAAAGGAAACAACCAGATAAATGTATGTACACGCAAGTTACTTATATATCGCCCCCGGCACCACCATTGCACGGTCGCTCGCCCGGTAATAAACAAAACCTGCTCTCCCATACTGGTTTGGGGCTTCCTTTAATAGTCAAACCCCGCCCCCTCAGGACAAACCAAGCGTAACAAACAGAAAAGGGAAATATGGAATGATAAGTATATACATTTCGACACATCCGGACATCCACTTCATGCTTCTTTGGTTTAGTCATCGTGGACTTAAATAACATACACAAATAACAAACAACACAAACTAAACACAAAAATTCATACTTACCTTTCCGACAAACAATGGACGAGTCGGCTTCCGGTTGCTTTGCGCCGGCGCATCGTACCTCTGGCACTATATCGCCAGGCCGCCAGGTTTCACTCGGGTTGGCCGGCCGATGGTAGGACAGCAACGCGAAAGACCGACAACAACCCTGAACCCCGGTAAATAGACAAAATACGAAACAAAAGGACAGACAGCTTAATATGTGTGTGCATTGCTATGCACGGCGTGGATTACTGTTGGGGAATGGAGTGGATATGTTTGGGGTTATGTGAAACCAGTATGCAATGGCATGCATGTGCACCCGCATCGCCTCAACACGGGGATTATGGAGGAGGAGTGAGGCAAGACGTGGTATGTGTATGGTGTAAGTGCTGTGCAAACCACCAGGGACAGGTCACCTTGTGACAGCCTCCCTTGTTATCTGTGTGTGTGTGTTTGTTTAAGTGTGTTTGTGTGTGGGGGGTCATTAACCCCCCTTTGGTGTCAATGTGTACCTCTTGTACCAGGTTAGGCCTTGTCTCAGGCCACCTGGATTTTAAGCCCTGTGACATGTGCATGTGTGATCCTACACACTATACCGTCCAACTTATCTGTGGACGTGTTGCTACGGTGTTTTATACGTAAAGCACCGCGCGTAATGTGTTATCAACTGATATTGATAACAATGGCACTTAACCAGGCTAGAATTGGATTTCATGATTAGTCATATTATTTGTCGGATTTATGGTAGTAGGGCTAATTGTAAGTGAACGAAGATAAAGACCATTTAAACTGAGGTACCTTAAATCCGACAAGTTGTCCGGCTAAGCAAAAAAATCTTGCTTTTTGATATGGGTCCATGGTATTGCACTTCTGTGGCAGATGTAATGCATCTGACTCGTGTTCAAGATGTTCAATAACCATGTTAAGTATATATACATTCCCTTTTTTCTTGAGTCTGTTTGCTCATGCAAAATGAAATGCGATTAATATAGATTAAAATGAATGATATTTAATCGTGATTAATCTAAATTAATCCACAGCAACCCTGTGATTAATCTGATTAAAAAGTTTGACAGCACGATGCCGTTTCTATCCAAACTGCAATAAGCGCCGTACCAATTTTTTGTCAAAACGTGATATGTACTCTCGACCAATCGGAATTCAGTGAGCGTGCGACTTAATCAAACTTGGCGGCGCTCTGAGGCGATGGAGTTTTGTTGCGATCTTGTTTAGTGTCCTCTTCAAAATGAGTGCTTTAAACCCTTTTGATGGCATCGATGAGCCAGTGAGACCTTAAGCTGGAGGTAGAAAATGCCGACTAGACAAAGAAAACCACAAAAAACAACAAAAAAAGAAGGTTCGTCACTCAGGTGGTGCATTAATTAATACCTACTGTGGGATGTCAACACAAGGCTGCTGCGACCGGTCTCTGTCAAGCCGAGAAGCTGTCACCGGATTATTTGTTTTATGTGGTGGACGATATTGAAACGTGAAATTGCCAATATTTATTTTATTTTACTATTTAGTTTATGTTACTATTCATTTTATTTATTTAATGCATTTGCACTTATTTTGATTTATATTCATTTATTGTATGAGTCCCTGATGTCATATGTTGCATGTTCACACATAACACACATAAACAATCAACTTTTAGGAAATAAATGGATGGATTTATAGCGTTATGGAAAAGGATGGATGGATTTATAGTTTTTTGGGGAAAAAAAAAACTTTGAATTTATAATCAACAATACTGTTGTTTGATTTAACAATCATTGTTCAACATGTTTAGACTGAGCCAACAAACCATTTTAACAGGATAAATTAAATATTAACAAAATGTGTGGGTCTAGGTAAAAAATGTCATTTTCCAGAAAACTATAATAATGGATTGATGCTGTTTTGGAAAAGAGCTCTTCATATATATATAGCTTCACAGCACGGCTTGGAGTGCATCTGGCCACTTAAACCAGTTACTACACCTTTGACGTATGGTCTTAACAGCTGGACATTTCAGAGCTAACCACTGATGGTGGCTTGGGTCATATATAACCAAAATATTTAATAGCAGTAGGATTAGGCGAAGTCTAATTTTTATATTGTCCAGACATTACATCCAGGTGCACAGTATTTTGATTGCAGTGTAAAAAAATAACGCTACTCCGGTGAAAATTATGTCTAATTATGTCAAATGTATAAGTGGAGTTGTGTATTAACCCTTTCATAGTTCATTTATAATGTGCGTGTAGGAATCGATAAGTGGAACTCTAATTCAAATATCTTTCCAAATTAAGAACCGGTTCTAATATGGAACTATTTTCAATACCCAACCCTAATCTTTATTGACCTTGGGACAGTGCCATCTAGCAAAGAAACAGTGTGTGGTGAAAGTTTACATTGGATGCACCATAGAAGGGGCATTTCTCTTCAGAAATGAATTGCTGGAGCAGTTTGCTAGGACCTTCAATGGTCATCTCCCTGTGGTATCTTCCCCAAGTCAGCTTAGCCTATTATTATTAGAAAAACCTTTTCCATGCTTCAACCAAGGTGTTGTGTGGTTCAGTGAATTTGGCCTCAGTGCCTATGACTAGGGCTGAATGATTTATTGATTTTAAATCGAAATCGCGATTTGAAACAATATGTTTAGAAATTGCAATGGCTGCAATTTACGGTATGCAATATAGAGCACGTCTGACCCAGGGTTTAAAGCTCATGAGAACATTTTCACAAATTCATGCCATTCTCCTTATGTGACAGTCTTACTAAATAGGAAATGCCGTGCTATTCGTGCCAGTCATGCCCACCAGTCAGAAGTGGCCAAAAGAGCCCACAAACAGCAATCACATGAAACCCAAGGAAAACGTTACCATTCTGCTTTACACACTGCAACCCAACCCCATTATTGGGTTAAATGAAATTGGCGCTTTACACCTTAAATTGACATTTGCATTCAGCTGTTTAATCTCCTTGGTGTTAACCCTGAGTTTGAATTTAGCTCAGTATTTTATGTAACACTAACAGGTACTAAATCTGCATCAGTACAGCACTGGACAATAGACATACCTTTCTTACTGTAATGTAGCGTAATATCATTCTGGTTTGAACAAGTTTCTGAGACATGGAATCAAATTTTTTCTTTCTTTTTGCACATTTTCCCAGGGGGAAGCGTAATGCTAAGCAGATTTAGAGTTGCTTGTGTGCTTTATCTTGATCTTAAATCCACACTGGGACATCATGACGTAAGTGTATTTCCTTTTAGTTGTGGTTTTAGGTGAAGATTCTCTTCCCTCAGATTTACATCCCAGCATAATATTAAATACTTGTTAAGAAAAAAAGGCAACACTTGAAAAGAGACAATTGTTTTTCAAAGTCACCGAGATCTCTTCTTTAATTAATTCTAGCCAAAATGATGGGAAACTGCTCCTGCCAAAGTGCAAGAATAATATTTTTTTCAGTTGATGGCCTCTGTTGGCACTGCATTAATCAATGAAGGTTGCGTGGCCTGCGTCTAGCACTGGAGACTAATGATTGCAATTAGTGCTCATTTGGCACAGGGTTGCCAGGTCATTGTACTGAGTAACTTGAGGTTCTTTTCCTCCTGTTCTTTACAGGGATCTGAAGGGTGTAGTGGTGATGCTAAGTGAAGAGGGCCAACTGCAGTGCTCCTATATGGGTAGCGACCCATCCTTTTTTATCGCTCCGAAAGCAGAAGCACGGGAAATCAACTATGATGATGTGAATAATGAAATGAAAACTTTACAGAAGACAATCAAGGAGGCTACCAAGATGCAAGGTGATCAGCAGCGTTTGTGGATGGCATGGAGGGGGAATTCTGCCCATCCCATAACAGCTTCCTGTGAATGGAGATCAGTATCCCCAGGATTTAGCAATTCTGCATCACAGTAATTCATGCAAAATCAAGTAAACCACACAATATTTGCAAGAGCTTGCAGTTTTTCAAATTTACCACAGCTTTTCTGCAAGAAATGGCCAAATCCACTGACCGCTTGTATATACTGTGTATGTGTGTGTGTGTGTGTGTAAGACTGGGCCAATGGTTCTTGAATTAAAAAAATATTCCATATGTCTCCTGAACTCGCAATTTGCCAATTATTGGCATTTTCAGAAACACACATATTGAAAATTTTGAGAAATGCTGTTATAATTACAAAAATTTCAGCAAAATTCCTTAGAGCCTGACAGGATATACTATGCTTAATTTTGCATATTTTGTTTCCAAAGTAGTTTGCCTCATTCAGCTTACTTTCGATTTTACCTTCTTTCAAACCTGGGCACTGAGATCTTTTATAAATTAGACACTGTTGACAAACTGTGTACTTGTAGTGCATATTTCTCTGCCTGATTGGCTTTGTTAATAAATTTTACCTGCTGAGATTACTGTACCGACACAAGACTATTTGTTTATGTTGTAAGGCAGTAGTTCCCAACCTATTTTGGCTTAAGTACCCCAAGGCCTTTTCTGTACATCTTAGGTACCCCTTCATCCACACCACACCGATATGATTCCAAATATGTTCATTTAAACCAACATCAAAAGGAAAATTCTGAAAACGAGACTAATACTTATAATATTAGGGCTGTCAGATGACTAATTTTGTTAGTTGTGATTATTTGCATAAACAATGGTTAATCGTATATTCAGTCACATTATAATTAGTATATTCGGGCTGTGAGCTGAATTATTAATCACAGGGTATTCTGTGATTGATCATACCTAACATTGAAACTTATAATCATGAATATGTACACATTGAATTCCCAAATTAATGTAGAATTAAAACAAAGGGAGTTTTTGGCCACAACCATATCAATATTCTATAATTTTTTTAAAGTTAGTTTGAAACACACAACTATAAAACTTAATTTTCAAAATTGTCAACTTGTATTACATCAAATAAGCAAAAGGATTCCATCAAATCCAGGGAAAGAGCTACTGAGATGCCTTTTATCAATGCCTGAAATATTAGGTTATGATACACAGATGCCATTTTAGTACTGCTTCCAGTTTTGGGGCAAAAGATTGTTCCAGGTTATGACTATATCATGCAATGATCTCAGGGGTAGCCAGGCCGAAGTAGCCTATATACTCAAACTGGTGGTACTGGAGTCTTTAATGATGAAAGATAGGATGCAGCTGAGGACTGAGCACAGTTTTCTACTTTAGACCTGCCGATATGTCAGGAGGTATTGCAGGATTTAACTTTTTCTTTAGCAGGTCAAAGTTAACATTTGAAGTATTTATGTACAGCTATTACGTCTATTGATTGTTACTGAGGAAAAGGTGTAAAAATAGGTGTAAAAGTGTAATGCAATGCTAATAATAGTGATTACAGTCCCCTAAGGTATCCTCTTTTCAAACATAGCAACATTTCAGTTCTTAGGTTTGACACTCCCACCTCAACAAACCAGGATAAGAGACCAACAAGATGTTTTGCAATAAAACATGTTATATTACAAAACAACGCTAATATAATTAATTGGCACAGCACTGTCTCTCTGCCTATTTGCAGACATCCTTCCCAAGACAAGCCTTGAGGACCAGCTGAAAGTCACAGCCTCAGTCTCTGCCAGCATGGATGCCATTTCTGTATGTGAGCCCTTCGTTGCAGCAGACAAACTCACCAACACAGTTCTCTTTCTCTTACTCAGCTTTTCACACTGCATGTGAGCAGTTGTCACCTCTTGCACCTACTGCTAGTTTCCTGCAGCTGCCCACTGTAACTACAATTTTTACTAATGTTTTAGAGCATCTGAAATATACATAAATTGCATAAAAGCACAAGATTGCATAAAGAAAAGCCAATTCTTTTGTTCTTGTTATTTATTTATTTTTTTTTTTGGGGGGGGGGGTATATTCTGGTCCACACAACTTAAATGAAATTAAATAATGAATTATAAATAAAATGGCCTCCCCATCATAATTCCTTTATCACAAAATGAGCATTCTAAATTAAATCAGGAAGAATGTTATGTAAATAAATAACTAGTAAGGTGGATTTTCAAGCCCATTTAGGTTCAACTGTGGAACTGGATGTGTTTTTGAACCTAGGAGGACCCTAAATTCTTTGTTGTTCTTCACCACATTTGGGATGAATAGTGAACAGATATGTTTAGTTTTGTCTGATATCTCATCTAGTGGCGGCACAGTGACTCAGTAGCAGCACTGTTGCCTCACACCTCTGTGTTTGGTGGTTTGAGCCCTGCCCCCACTCACTGTGTGTGGGTTTTGCATGTTTTCATTTATTTTCCTCCAAGTGCTCTTCTTTCATTCCTCAATCTAAGGATGTAAGGTAGGGGCAGATTGATCAGAGATTTCTTAAGTTTAACCATCACCATTTTTAGATGAAAAAAGAGTTTGTTTTTGGAAGTTAAGCAGCTCTCCTCAAAACTGCCAGGATTCCGCGGACCAATGAAATACTGGCCACGGACCGGTGTTGGGGGGCCTTTTACGCTACCGTAATGGACTGATATTGCACCCAGAGTGTTCTCCTGCTCCCTGTGCTACCTAGTCTGCCCCTGCCCCCCAACTCTGTGCAACAGAAGGAGCACCCTCTGGGGTTGACGGCATCGTTGGCGATGCCGCGTATCTCTCTTGTGTATTTCAGTTCATAACTTGCTGAAATCTTATTGTAGAAACATGGAATAAAACGCTGACTAAATCTTATTTTCAAAACCCCCATTGTCGGAAGTATTAAAGTTTTTAAAATTAGGTTAAATAGGCAGAAAAGTAAACCATGTCATCTTTCTTTGTTTTAACTGCATCAGGGGCGTGTAGTACCGTCCTCACGTGAAGATCGCTATTCGCATTCTAAATAGCCGAATTACCACGTATTCAAATCGCATTCGCATGGTAATTTGATGAACAACGCAATAGTAAAACGCGATCCAGATACATCCCCATCAGTGCCATAAAAGTTTGGGGGGGGGATGTGCACATGAGAGCTACATATTCAATGATGAAGACCAGAATTAGTGTCATGAGTTTTTTCTTATTTATTTATCCAAGTGAATGTTGCAACTACACCATTTAGTCACCAAAACGCATATGGACAATACAATGACCGGACTGGGGAAAGAAACTGAAACGCGGACTAAATACAGAGGACTAATGACAACAACCAGAAACAGTTGAGACACACGGGGATTCCACACGGGGTTAACAAGGGGGCGTGGTACACGGAAGGAGCGGACGATCGGGGCAGGACACATTGTTTGGACATATTTATTTTCTTACTTTAAAAATTACTGTTTTGATAAATGTGCTTAGATGTGTTTAGTACAGTATATGCTCTTCTTGTTTTATCCGGTTGATTTTGTGTTTAAATGCTAAAAAAAACATATTTAGGTGTAATTTTTTTGGGGCCGAGAATCAATTAATTGGTTTTCCATTATTTCTTATGGGGAAAATTCAATCAAAACTCGAACTTTTTAGGATTCAATCCGGATTTCTGAACGGATTAAGTTTGAGTTCTGAGGTACCACTGTATATAAGAAATAATTTATTTGCCATGAATTAAGTTTATGATATTGAAAGAAATGTGTTATCATGCCCCAGTCAGTGAATGTGTGTTCCCTACCCCTAGATCCCAGAGGATTAAACATTAAAATTAATTTAATTCAACTGCCATTTGGTAACAGTGACAACAGAGACTCTTTCTGAGCCATCATTCCAACTTGGCATTATTAGTAATATGTTAAAGTCTGACAATTCTTACTTATTTTAATTTTACATAGATGTCTTCATCTTTTACGTTAAAAGCTGTATTTAATGTAGGGTCCTGCTGTCACAGCAAATCGGGGAAGCAGGAGCGGGGAGACGGAGAATCAGGGAATATGTGGTTTATTAGGAAACAATCCTGACCAGGGCACAAGAAACATGCAACGTCAATATACTCAAACATGGACTGAAATACACAAGACCAATTAACAGCAACAAGCAAAAGCTGGTAAACACGGGGATTCCACATGAGGTAGATGAGACAAACCATGGGAAACATAGGGGCACCAGCAATGGAAACACAGTACCTGGGAACACTAAAGGGGACAATGGAGGGACAACACCAGGTGACAAACTCACAGGAGGCACAAAGGGACCAGAAGGGAACTCAGGCTCAGAGCGACAGGGAGCAAACACAGGGGGCACAAAGGCAGGAGGCGAAGAGGCAAAGGGCGGGGGAAAACGGTGAACCTCGCCGTGTGAGCTGCGGAAGCCGCAGGGGCAGCACAGGTGACCGCGAGGTTGGAGCCGAAGGGACCCTCGGCGACCACGAGGCAGGAGCCGAAGGGGACACCAAAGGGGGCGAGGAGGAAGGTGCAGGCGACCAAGGAGGCACTGCAGGGGGACCCGCAGGTGACCACCGAGCCAGAGCCAGGTGGACCGCAGATGGCCGCCGAGCCGGAGCTGGAGGAACTGCAGGCGACCGCCGAGCCGAAGCCAGGGGGACAGAAGGCGAGCCAGGGGGCAGGGCGGGCAGTACCCGACCCTGACGCAGGTGTCCTCTCCCTATCTAGGAGACAGAGAGGCGGGGACCCGGCCTGGATTTGCCATGCTGGGATGGTCGTGGAGGAGTCACTCCAAAGTGGGCCACCGGGGAAGTCAGGGTGATATCCGAGGGGTCCCACTTGAGCTCCTCCTCCAACTCCATTAAGGAGGGAGGAGCGGTGGTCTGGCAATCTGGGACTTCCTCGGTGACAGGAACTGGGGTCATGGAAACAGAGGGTTCCGGGGATCTGGAACCACGGGGGGGCGGAGCCGCCGGAGGGTCAGGAACCACGGGGGGTGGAGCTGCCGGCACAGGAACCACAGGGGGAGGAGCGGGCACCGCCTTTTTAAGGAGCTTTGGGATCCGCAGGATGGCATCCTCCATTGACCTGGTCCCTTTAAATACCAGGTGCGTCCCTAAAAAGGGGCAGGCTGCTGACGCTGGTAACGAAGTGGCGGATGGACAAGCTTCGGGCTTGTGCTCAGGCGAGGTGATGGCGGTGATGTCATGCGTGAACACCGCCGGGTTCAGAATCGGGACGACACACAGCAGGGCAGGCAGTGGAGACCGAGACAGCCCCTAAGAAGAGCTCCGGCGTCTCTTCCCATCTTCTGCTTTTCCGCTTTTTCTTTCCACGTCCAGTTCTGCCAGAGGACTGTGAGGCAAGCCACAAGCTGTGGCCACCTGCTTTAAATTAGCCTCTGCCACCCTGCATCTCAGCCGCTGCAGGTTTTCACGCAGCTCTATGAGGTGCACATCTTCGAACAGGGATATCTCCTCAAGAATATCCCTTGTCCGGAAAGCAAGGGCTCGCATCACAGGCTCGCCCCTTAACTCGGGCTGCTCGAGCCAATGCAGAGCCTCATTCACGAGACCGAGGTATTGCTCCTCAGATCAGGTTAGGCATCTTCGGTTGGAGTCCTGTCATTCTGTCACAGCAAACCAGGGAAGCTGGAGCGGGGAGACGGAGAATCAGGGAATACGGGGTTTATTAGGAAACAATCCTAACCAGGGTACAAGAAAACATGCAACGTCAATGACAGGACTAGGGAAACATACTCGAACATGGACTGAAATACACAGAACTAATTAACAGCAACAAACAACAGCTGGTAAACATGGGGATAACACACTAGGTAGTTGAGGGGGGGTGGCACACGGGAGGATCGGACAAGTGGGGCATGACACCTGCACTGTTAATGCATTTGTATTTTCTGTATTCTGCTGGAGTTCTTTCACATGAAACTGCTTTGAGTTTGTCATGCTTTGAGTGTTAAATCTAATTGTTGTTTCACTGCTTCCATTTTTGAGCAGTTATAGTTAGTATGTGTAATTGAAATACCTTTGTTTAACTGTTTGCTATGGCCTTTAAATAACATTGTCACTGTAGGGGAACCGTCCACTGGCCCAATGGCGGAATCCAATTGGGCAGCCGAAGGCTTGAAATGTGTGTGGATCCTTCCGAGCACTCCTGTAAAGTTACTTACTCGTTTTAGGTAAAGACCAAATTATATCTGTCTCCAATTTAATTAAAGATCTTTATGGCAATTTTAATCATGACATTTCTGTTATTTAGATTACTCATGGGCTGTGCCTTCTATTGCTGAACTCCCACTAATCCCGGACAGTGGGGTATACCGGATTCGCCTCGGCCGAATCCGTGGATCTGCTATGTAGGTTTAGAAGTTGGGAAATCACTACAATGTAATACAGTGCCAGCCTAGATACCCTTCAGGACGCCTCAGAGGCTTTGCTGACACTTGCAGAATCTGAGCTAGTGAGGGCCACAGAGGTTAAGCCGGTGTTTGCCATAACCCAGCATGTGCGCACCTCAGAGGCTGAGTCGGACTTTATGCCATAACCCAGCGTGTGCGTGCCTCAGAGGCTGAGCCGGTCTTTTACCGTAACTCAACTTGGGCAGTCGCATCGGGTCTCGGAGAAACGGGGTCGAGTCACAGGCTGCGAGAGAGTGCTAGAATAACCCCAGTCTCTGCGAAACATGCAGAGGTTAACAAAGTCAGACAGCCAAGAAGTAATCAAAAACACAGTTTATTCACAATTAATATATAACACATCAAATTGGTGCACTGCTGACCTCAGCTCGGGATGTTGTGGGTCGGTGGATGGAATACTTCGAAGAAGACCTCAATCCCACCGACACGCCTTCCAATGAGGAAGCAGAGTCTGGGGACTTGGGGGTGGACTCGCCTATCTCTGGGGCAGAGGTCGCAGAGGTGGTTAAAAAGCTCCTCAGTGGCCGGGCCCCAGGGGTGGATGAGATCCGCCCGGAGTTCCTCAAGGCTCTGGATGTTGCGGGGCTGTCTTGGTTGACACGCATCTGCGACATTGCGTGGACATCGGGGGCGGTGCCTCTGGATTGGCAGACCGGGGTGGTGGTCCCCCTCTTCAAGAAGGGGATCGGAGGGTGTGTTCCAACTATAGGGGGATCACACTCCTCAGCCTCCCTGGTAAGGTCTATTCGGGGGTGCTGGAGAGAAGTGTCCGTCGGATAGTCGAACCTCGGATTCAGGAGGACCAGTGTGTTTTTCGCCCTGGCCGTGGAGCAGTGGACCAGCTCCTATGGGTGTCCGCGGGGTTTTAAAAAGTATTAAAAGGTAGTAAATCACATAAGCAAAAATTAAAGCCATTAAAAGGTATTACACGCAAATTTACGAGGTATTAAATTTTAGATTTTTTTTTAGCTACAAATTGTCCATTTGTGTTTTAAAGTTTATCTGCTAAATTTCTCGCAAATTATTTTAAATGTGGATCAGCTCATTCCTTCATTCATAGATGATGGTCATATGCTGACGTCATATTCGGTGGTCGAGCGACGTCTTAAACAGTTTGCGCGCTGAAGTACATGTTGGCTGCTTACACTCAGAAAAGCTAAGTCATAGTCATCATGGGTAAGTGCAAATTTGCTCGTAAGTGGTTAGAGGACCCAGCGTTTAAGGACTATGGAAGTAAATTAATGACAAAAGTCGTTGATGAAAAAAAACACGTTGAATTACACTTATCGAATAAAAACGCATTGCATTAATGACACTTTGAATTTTTGGGGACTGTAATTTAATATGTGCATACATT